AGAGAACCAGTTCCATTGGCAGCCATACATGCCCACACCATGACACTACCACCACCATGCTTCACTGATGAGGTGGTATGCTTAGGATCATGAGCAACTCCTTTCCTTCTCCATACTCTTTTCTTCCCATCACTCTGGTACAAGTTGATCTTGGTCTCATCTGTCCATAGGATCTTGTTCCAGAACTGTGAAGGCTTTGTTAGATGTTGTTTGGCAAACTCTAATCTGGCCTTCCTGTTTTTGAAGCTCACCAATGGTTTACATCTTGTGGTGAACCCTCTGTATTCACTCTGGTGAAGTCTTCTCTTGATTGTTGACTTTGACACACATACACCTACCTCCTGGAGAGTGTTCTTGATCTGGCCAACTGTTGTGAAGGGTGTTTTCTTCACCAGGGAAAGAATTCTTCGGCCATCCACCACACTTGTTTTCCATGGTCTCCCAGGTCTTTTGGTGTTGCTGAGCTCACCGGTGCATTCCTTCTTTTGAGAATGTTTCAAACAGTTGTTTTGGCCATGCCTAATATTCTTGCTATCTCTCTGATGGGTTTGTTTTGTTTCTTCAGCACAATGATGGCTTGTTTCACTGATAGTGACAGCTCTTTGGATCTCATCTTGAGAGTTGACAGCAACAGATTCCAAATGCAAATAGCACACTTGAAATGAACTCTGGGCCTTTTATCTGCACATTGTAATTGGGGTAATGAGGGAATATCACACACCTGGCCATGGAACAGCTGAGAAGCCAATTGTCCCATTACTTTTGGTCCCTTAACAAGTGGGAGGCACATATACAAACTGCTGTAAGTCCTACACCGTTCACCTGAGTTGGATGTACATACCCTCAAATTAAAGCTGACAGTCTGCAGTTAACGCATATTGTGTTTGTTTCATTCCAACTCCATTGTGGTGGTGTATAGAGCCAAAGATGTTAGAATCGTGTCGATGTCCCAATATTTCTGGACCTGACTGTATATTCAACATTAGCCCAATCCTTTTCGCAATTTCACCTTACAAATACAGCACATTTCCGCTTTATAGCACATAGATAACTTTTAAATTATAAGCACAAGGGACCCGTGATACCTTTGCCCACATATTACCGAAATGAAATAACTGCACTGTATCCAATTCCTTCATTACCAAATTCAGGAAGCCTTATGATAAAAGTTTTCAGGAGTAGAAAAATGTCAGGGGAACTTTGTTAGAGAAAATAGAAAAAAAAAATGTAAAAGAAAATTCGGATAGGGGTTTTCCACCAGTTGAATTCGCCACGCCGCAAGAACTTTCTGCTAACCACCAAACCTGTTTATGTCAGTATTTTCAAAAGAACAGAATTAATAAACAGGCTGCTCCTTTTGTACCAAAACTGTGCATGGATTTTAATTTCAACTTTTACTTCATCCCCAACTTGGCCCTCCCTTCTTATCTTCTTCTTGGGCAAATCTGTTTGTTTGGATTTAAATAGTTGCCCATCTCATATACAAGACACTGGGTGGCTTACAATAAACAATAGCATTCCTGACCTACTGGCAAAGTAGGAGAGATGGATTATCGAAGATATAGAGCTGTGTTTATCTGGCATTCCCAGCTGCCCAGCTTCTGCGCAGGCTACTTTGAATAGCCAGATTATCTGCCTTCTCTTTTCTCTTTCGCTGCTAGCAGCAAGAGTTACACAGGGTCATTGCAGCAGGCCTTCTGTCACTACTGCATCAGTAAGTCAGAGTGATAAGTCATCAGTATCTTTCTCAAGTATCCAATGATTTTTTGGAAAAGTTATGTCTAAATGCACACTTTTTTTTCCCCCTTGCAAAAAATAGTGTGAATTTTTCCAGCTAAACTGAAATATTCAATGGAAGAAAATATACATGGCTCAGTGTTGAACCATGGAGTCCTTTAGTGCTAACGGAGAAACTGAATTGAAAGGACTTTGGAGGTCTTCTAGTCCAGTGGTCGGCAAACCACGGCTCGCGAGCCACATGCGGCTCTTTGGCCCCTTGAGTGTGGCTCTTCCACACTCGTGATGCCCTGGCCGGCTGTGGCTGAGCCGGAAGCATGCGCATGCGCAGGGAGACCCTCATCAAGCGAGTGCCGAAGCTCAAGAAAGGTGCACGCTGAGTGGGCAGCGGCTTGCTTAAGGAGGGTCTCCCCCCGTGTGGGCATGCTCCCGGCTCAGCCACTCAGATCCCGGCCAGGGCATCACGAGAGTGGGAGGAGGAGGAGAGTGCAGGAAAGAAGCTGCCCTGTACCTACCTTTGTGCCACATTTGCACGTAAGGCAGCCTTTGCTTCCTGCTGCTTCAGGCTGGAGTTCGCACCCTCCGCACTCAGCCGAAGAGCTGCTGGGGGTGGGGGATGAAACAGCAAGGCGATGGCCAGAGCATTAGTGCAGGAAAGAAGCCCCATCCTGTTAAGACCCTCCTAATCGAGCAGCCGCTCACCCCGCGGGTGCCTTTGCTGTGCTTTGGTGCTCGTTTGGGGAGGGTCTCCCCGCCCATGCACACGCTCCTGGCTCTGCCACAGCTGTCCAGGACATCACAAGAGGAGGGGGAAGGAGGGAGGGGGAGAGACACAGAGAGAGAGAGATGTGGGGGAGAGAGAGAGAAATAGAGACACATACAGAGTGATACATAGAGAGGGGTGAGAGAGGGGAAGAGAGGGAGAGATACAGAGGGAGACATGGGGGGAGAGGGGGGGAGATAGGAAAAGGGGGAGAGAGACAGAATGGTTTTGTGGCTGGGTAGGCATGGCTGGGGGGGTCATGTGACTGGGTGAATGAGTGACATCGAGTTGGCCACGCCCACCCATGTGGGAAACGGGTCCAAGTGGCTCTTTGAGTGTTTAAATTTGCCGACCCCTGTTCTAGTCCAACCCTCTGCTTAGGCAGGAAACCCTATACCATTTCAGACAAATGCTTGTCCAATCTCTTCTTCAAAACTTCCAGTGTTGGAGCACTCACAACTGCTGGAGGAAGGTTGTTCCACTGATTAATTGTTCTAACTGTTAGGAAATTTGTCCTTAGCTCTAGGTTGGTTCTCTCCTTGAGTATTTTCTATCCATTGCTTCTTGTCCTGCCTTTAGGTGCTTTGGAGAATAGGTTGATCTCCTATTCTCCGTGGCAGCCCCCGAGATATTGGAACACTGTTATTAAGATCACTTCTCCTTGGATTTTACAACCAGGTTCTCCAAACAAACTACATTGTTCAATGTTGCTTTTTCCCTCAATCACTAAGGCTTGAAAATTAAACGTGAAAAACTAACAAGAGGGCGGCTGCAAAGTGGTTAAAAAAAGTCAAGACGGCAGCAATGAAGGTGCAATAGAAGCTTTGTTTTTAATGTATGTCAGAGGTGCAATACATATAAAAATGATGCCACTTGCTTTCTGACTTATTTAATTCAGTGTAGGCATCGTCCAACTCTAAAATAACTTTTTTAGAAAATCATACCCTGTAGTCACCCAAGTCAACAGGGAGCAGCAATCTAAACAGGATATGTGTATCTAGTGATGTGGAACGTGGAGATTTGAGTCTATGATTGAAATAAAAGCCATGCAAAACTTTGGTTTGAAGATTTCATTATAAAGTAATTTGTTCAAACCAGTCTCTTTGAATTTGCCAAAGTAAGATGATATGTCAAACAGAATCAGCTGCTTTCAAATCTATTTGAAGATTTAGTGGACTCCCTATGTTAACAAAAAGACACGTTTGTCCCAATCAAACCTTTGCACTGAAACTAATCAATTTGATTTGAATTGCAAACTCAGATTGAATCACACATTCAAATAGTATCTTGAGAGATTTATAACCCCTAATTAATATATCTATGTAAATGTATGAGTAAGAGTCTATTTTTCCTTAGAGTCAAAGTGAAGAAGCACAGCCAGATCTCAATATGTAATGAAAAGATATGGCTTTTATTGATTAACTGGCAGCCCCCAAGCAAAGTGTGGATATGGATTGGCACCACGTTGATTAATTATCCTGCCTTTATTAATTTTATAAATAACTCAAGGCGGCAAGCATATTAGTCCTTCCTCCTCCTCCTATATTTCCCCACCACAACAATCCTATGAAGTGAGTTGTGCTGAAAGAGAATGGACAGCTGAATAGAATAGAATAGAATAGAATAGAATAGAATAGAATAGAATAGAATAGAATTCTTTATTGGCCACGTGTGATTGGACACACTAGGAATTTGTCTTGGTGCATACGCATAAGGTCATCCAGCTGGCTTTCATGCCTAAGGGAAGACTAGAATTCACAATCTTCTAGTTTCTAGCCTGGTGCCTTAACCACTGGACCAAAATTTGGACCTTCCTTTTGATAATAATAGATAATAGAATTCTTTATTGGCCAAGTGTGAACACACAAGGAATTTGTCTTTGGTGCATATGCTCTCAGTGTATATAAAATGACAGGATACATTCGTCAAGAATCATAAGGTACAACACTTAATGATAGTCATAGGGTACAAATAAGCAATCAAGATCAACAATCAATATCAATATACATCGTAAGGATACAAGCAACAAAGTTACAGTCATGCAGTCATAAGTGGGAGGAGATGGGTGATAGGAACGATGAGAAGACTAATAGTAATAGTAATGCAGCTTAATGGGAATAGTTTGACAGTGTTGAGGGAATTATTTGTTTAGCAGAGTGATGGCGTTCAGGGAAAAACTGTTCTTGTGTCTACTTGTTTTGGTGTGCAATACTCTATAGCGTCGTTTTGAGGATAGGAGTTGAAACAATTTATGTCCAGGATGCGAGGGGTCTGTAAATATTTTCACAGCCATCAGTGCTTGGAAATCTATGACAATTGTTTGCAGTGCCAATACGGAAAGGTTTATACTCCCACAAGATATTCAAATTCTTATAGACACACCCACATTGTCCCAGACTGAACAAGAAGCATTTCATTGCTGCAGTTGATAAATAGGAATTAAAGTATAATGGCTTCTTAGAGCATGCACATAGGAAGGGTAGAAGAAAGATACACTTACCACTTCTTTGATTTCAGCCTGGGGGCTGGGTTTCGGGGAATGAGAAACAAAGCTCTCATAGGATGCATATCACAAAGGGCTGAAAAACCAAAAACAAAGAAGAAGAAGAAGAAGGCATGAAACAAATTGTGAAGTGTTATGGAAAAAAAGAGAACATTCCAGTAAAGACATTGACTAAAATTCTCATGTGATGTAGGAAGATAAATTTAGTGACTTAGGTTCACAGATCCCACTTGGTCATAAGATAAGTGAGGTTATCTCTGAGGCTCTGATGCATAGTTTGACCGAGGCTTTAATCCTAGCTTATTTCTTGTTTGGAATGAAAAAAAGTGGGCTTTGATCAGATTGCTTCTGTATGGACTCTCTCTGTTTGTGGAGTCCAGTAGTACTCCCATTTTTCAGAGGATCTCTGGATGATAAAGCAGAAGGATGTCTAGAAGGCCACTGAAAAAAGATGAATAATGTTTCTGAGCACAGGTAGGTGTCCTTCTTAAGGACTAACTTGTGATAGTACAACAGTGGTGGGTTTCAACCGGTGTTACCACCATTTCGCATCATGCACCAGCTTGATGAACTTGTGCTCCGTGCAAACGCAGTGTATTACAGAACAGCTGAGATGCGCCTTTCAGCTGGGCTAAAAATGAACAAATATAAGGTATGTATAATGCAGGGACGGGCGGGAGGGCCAACCTAGCCGTCAGAGAGAACCGCTTCGCTCTCAGCTCACCATCATTGCTACGGCTCACCCGAACCAGGCCGAACCGGTAGAAACCCACCACTGCAGTACAAGTGGTAAAATAGAACTACTTCACTGCTCTTATTGAGTCCACTGCCTTCCTCAGGACAACCTGGTCAGCCCTGGATAAGGAGAAGCTGGAAAAGTTGGAGAAGCCATTCAGATTTCTTGGAAGTTGTAATCTGCCTGTCAACTCTGAAGTGAACCTGGCTGAAGCCATCTTGTGCTGCCTCAAGGTTGCCACAAATCCTGAGAGAGGGAAAGGAGGGGGGAAGTAGATAGCCTGACTACAGTCAAAACAAAACGTTTTCCTGTGGGAACCAAGATCATTGAAACAGGTGGCTGTTGAAAGAGGAGAGTAGCCTGTCTTCCACCTTTGTTGGACAATGTGACCAATGACACCTGGGAGGGGGGAGTTTTATTCTTTTAATGAGGTGAAAACTGAGGGAACTGTCAGAGTTGGTTTTCACCACCTGTGCTGATATGACGTATTCAATAAACATGTCCTTTGAGGAATCTACCTGCCTCGGAGTTCTGCTTTCAATGGGTGCATTACTCGGAACGCTGACATTGCCTATGCAATTCCAATGGCGCTGATTGAAACACAGTCTTAACTTGGTTATCTTGGATGAGTTTGAACATGTTAGTTCTAAGGAAGTGGACAAGGTCCTTCGGGCGATTGGTGTCACCACTTGTACTTTAGATTCATGTTCTTCCTAGTTGTTTAAGACCTCAAGGGAAGATTTGCATGGTTGGATACACATTGTGGTAAATACATCCTCAAGGGAGTAAATAATTCCACCGGCTCTTAAGGATGTGGTGGTCCTCCTTCTCTTCAAGAAGTTATTGTAGGATCCAACAAAGCTGCACAATTTTCATCCTATTTCCTTCTTTAGGGAAGGTTGTTGACAAAGTGATCATCTGCTCGAAAGGGTCAGAGGAAATGGATTATCTGGAATCCTTTTAATCTGGGTTCCAGTCAAAACAACATTGGTTGCACTTGTCAATGATCTATGAGAGTCTCAGGCTGGGAGGAGTATATCTATCTCTCCTCCCTCCCCTCCCCCTCAAATTTCATTGGGCCTTTGCTCTTTAGGAAGATTTTAAAAACTTGGTTTATGTCCTGGACTCAGAGATGGGATTCAGCCAGTTCTGTCTGGTTCTGGCGAACCGGTAGTGGCAACTGCAGGAGGCTCCGCCCACCCGCCCAGACATAATGTGCGAATTCTGAACGCACGTGCTCACATTTGTGAACTGGTAGGGAAGGTAAGTGAATCCCACCTCTGCCCAGACTGTAGAATAGAAGAATCTTTTCATCTTTGAGAAATATATGTTGATAAGCCTATACAGGTAGTCCTCAATTTATGACCAGAATTCAGCCCAAAATTTATGTTGTTAAGTAAGAAATTTGTTAACTGTGTTTGCTCCATTTTACGACTTTTCTCACCATATGTGTTAAGTGAATCACTGCAGTTCTTAAATTAGTAATATGGTTGTTAAGTGAATCTGGGCTTCCCCGTTGACTTTGCTTGTCAGAAGGTCACAAAAGGGCATCACATGACTCTGGGACACTGCAACCGTCATAAATGCGAGTCAGTTGTCAAACATCTGAATGTAAATGTAATCTGAATGTGAATGTAAATCACATGTATCTGAATGTAAATCACTTCAACTGTCGGAAGTGAGAAAAATGGCCATAAGTCACTTTTTTCAGTGCCATTGTAACTTTGAACGGTCCCTAAATGAACTGTTGTAAGTTGAAGACTACCTGTATGTAGTAGGAATTGTCAATTTGGGGCAGTTTTTGTTGACATTGCTGGCTTTAATTTCAGTTTTTCTTCAGCTTTACTAATGTACTACACTATCTAGAATCACGCTCATTCAAGTTGGGCAGTCATATAAATCTTGTAAACAAACAAACAAACAAAATCCTTTGCTTGTTTATCGCTTAGCACATTGTATACATCTGGCATCTGAGGTTTTCTGACCCACAGAGCTCAGTGTGTTGTGTGATCCCTGCCTATTCTGGTTTATTCAACAAAGAATGCTGTAATTATAGCTTAGCTTGATACGGGAAGCCAGTCATCAATTTGCATCTTAATACTTTCTAAGGTAGATAATTCTTCCCCTAGTCAGTTGCCATTGCTGTCAGCTATTGTAGGTTTTTCTATATAGTTAGAGAAGCCCTGCTTAAAATCATGAAGTTGAATCATGAAGTTATTTAGGTCACTGAATCCAATTCCCTGCTCAGTACAGGAATTTAAGCATCCCCAACAGATGGCTGCCAAGTTTATGATTCCAGTAATTCCCTAGGTAACCACTTTAAACTGCTCTGTTAGAAGCTTTTTTATTAACATTCAGCTGGAATCTGCCTTCCTCTAACATAAGTCCATTATTGTGTATGCTACCCTCCAAGACAACATAAAACCACGACCTTCTTCAATGTTGACACTCCACTAGATGCTTGAAGAGGACTGTCCTCTCTTTCTCCCCACAGTCTTTCGTTCTCAAGATTAAACAAGAGTTGAATTTTAATTTTTGATAATGAAATGTTTTAACAGATGCAACATTTATGTTTTCTACTTTTAATGTCGTTTTATTATTAAATTCTTTTTATGCAAAGTTAATGTCATGTCTCTAGCCATCCAACAATTTCATGTCAGAGATAAAATTCGAACAAGTATTTCTCAGTAACTCTTTTAGTTGCTTTGTTATATAAGCTATATGGATATATCCATGTTTACCCAAACTACATGAGATAGAACTAATAATTAAAGGAAAGTTTATGGCAGAAAGGAGAAGGAAAAGAAATTGAGCTCATCTCCTAGTGCATATTTTAATACCTCATTATGGTCTACTTGGTATAAGACTATCAATAAATCTAGCCAAAACTCAATGTATTATGGTTTGTTGCACAGATACTGGATTTGGCATTTTGACCCACCTATTGAGTCCTTCCCAAGGACCCGGGATTGTGAATGTTTGATGGTGTCAGAGGTATCATCATAGGATTAAGTTGTTCTGAGAGTAAAGCCACCTTTTGCAATTGGACTGATGGTGAATTTGTCAATTCTGATGGTGTTCAAATGGTGCTCTAGTTGTTTGGGGATTTCACCCAAGGCACCTATTACCATTGGTACTACCTTTGCTTTCTTTTGCCACAGATGTTCTATTTCTATTTGCAAGTCTATGTATTTTGTTATCTTCTCCAGTTCTTCCTCTTCTATTCTGCTGTCTCCAGGTACTGCCATCCAGACTCCCTTTGTCTTTCTTATTGACAGTTGTTAAGTCTGGGGTGTAATGTGGCATGTGCCTGTCTGTTGTTATTATTATTATTATCAAATTTATTTGCTATCCATCCAGGGGTGAAATGCTCCCAGTTCGGACCGGATCGCCCGATCTGGTAGCGATGGCGGCGGGTGGTTCGGAGAACCGCCCCCCCCCCCCCCACCATGCCCAGCTGAGCCGCAGGATCATCAGAGGCTTTTATTTTTTTTTACTTTTAAAAGCATTTTTTCTACAACCTCTTCCGACAAAAAAATGCTTTTAAAAAAAAAAAGCCTCTGATGATTGCGCGGCTCAGCTGGGATAGTCAGAGGCTTTTCAAAGCATTTTTTTCTGCAACCTCTTGGCCGAAGAGGTGGTAAAAAAAATGCTTTGAAAAGTCTCTGACGATCCCAGCTGAGTTTCCTGATTGGCAGAGGCTTTTCAAAGCATTAGAAAAAATGCTTTGAAAAGTTAAAAAAAAAAGTTGGCCACGCCCACCCAGTCACATTACCCCCCACCAAGCCATGCCCACAGAACCGGTAGTAACAAATTTTATATTTCACCCCTGCATCCATCTAATGGTTTGAGGCAACTCTGAGAAGAATCATACCATGACAATCATGTCTATATGTGTGCTTTGAGTCTACATAAAAGCCAGACATTTGTTCCTGAATTCATCACTTTATTCAACAAATCTTTACTTAGGGAAATTGCATATAGCATATTATAGCGAAATGGAATTTCTACCACTGCATAATGAATTTTAATAAGCAGCAATCCAAAATATGATACAGCATAAAATTCAAATATACTCACGGGGAGCTCCTTCTGCCATTTCAATGGCTGTGATCCCTAAAGACCACAAATCACTCTGAAAGAAACAACCAAAAGTAACAAAATTTTCAGTGATGTACAACATATGAGAGTTACTACTATATAGGAAGGACTTCTTGGTACCTTAGTTCTGTAAGTTTCCTCAAAAATTGTCTAAATAAGTTCTGGATCTTTTGATTCCTCAAGTTCACTTGGGCTTTTCATAAACTGATTTTGTAGCTTTTTAAATTCTTAAATCTTGAATTTGAATTTGTATTCCCACGTTTAACCTTATTTATTGGATATTCTGATTTAATTTGTCTTTTAACTTTTGTATTTCTGTTCCTTATTGTTGTGAGCCGCCCTGAGTCCTTCGGGAGAAGGGTGGCATACAAATCCAATAAATAAATAAATAAACAAACCCATTTTTATGTTCTTTCCACTGTCAGAGAAGAGCACCCCATAAATTAAAAGAAACCCGAACCAAAATACTGTGCTATTTTAGTACACTGAAGCTGTATAATCCAATGCAATTCTCTATCAATAAGAACTAAATATTTGAAAAAAATAATAATTTTGCAAGAGTAAAACATTACCTCCGCTTTTCTTATTTCCCCAAATACTTGTCAACTCTTAATTTTACCTTCCCTAATTTGGACAACTTTCAGACTTATAGCTTTATACACACATATCGTTCTATTATGCAAAGTGTAACAATAGAGTAAGAAACAACAAGTTAAAAAATTGAAATTAAAAGAAAAGGAAATTAAACTTAGTCTACTTGAAACTAATACTATTTACAATATTATATCTTTCTACATTTTTCTGACCTTACAAAGCATCCTTACTTCTGCCATCATAATAAAACATTCTTAGGTATTATCTATCCTCTCAATCTATGTACTCTTCCTTTATATATTTGCTTTGTGATTTAAAACTTATTTTCTCAAGATGTTTATTTTCAAATAGCATTCAACCTACATGTATTTGTCTACTATTGATTCTTGTTCCTATCTTTTCTTGCCTTATATGTCATACAATTCTTAGTAAATCCATTCCCATTGCAAATAATTGCCTTTTATGTTTCTTCAGTCATACAAACCTCTCATAGCAATATGTGAATCATTATATGTGGATATTAGTTCCCAGAATTCTAGAAATGGTTATTATTGGGAATAGAAGACTGCATTTGTCGAAGCTTAGTCACTGACATGTAACCTTTTGGTAAAAGAAAAAGAACTATCTCAAAGGGCAATTGTAAGAATAATAAGATATGGAAAACTTCTGATTGCTAACCATTGTAAAGGCCTTTGTAGGTTTTCAAGAAACTACTTTTAAGAAAAATGGGTTTTTGAGAAACTACTCACGAAAATAACAGTATTTCATCAAGTTCAACCTTCTTCAAAGAAGAGCAGACAAATTTCTGCAAAAATTCTACTGGGAAATCTTAAATCAGACATATGGTGAAAGCAATGAAAATTGATTTCAAGGAACTTGTAAAACTGAAAAATTGTCTTAGAAAACAGACAAAGGCATCTTGGTTCCTATCTAATATAAACCATGTTTATATTGCATTATGAATAACTTCTGAATTGCAAGTGTAAGTATTAGATTACAGATCATAGATGGCATATAGAAAGTCCTTGGGAGACAAAGCCAAGATATGTCATCTCAGATAACATACTACATAGCCCACAACTAGATGGTGGGGAGGGCAAAAGCTTAGCTTAGCTCCCTAGTTTCTTTGGCTGTAAAGGAGACAGTGGGAGATTTGTATTTTCAGACTTCCATGATTCCGTTAATATAGCTTTATAATAAAATAGAATTAGCTCAGCTATTCATAACAGCCAAGGTGGCGCAGTGGTTAGAGTGCAGTACTTCAGGCTACTTCTGCTGACTGACTGCAATTTGGCAGTTCGAATCTCACCAGGCTCAAGGTTGACTCAGCTTTCCATCCTTCCGAGGTTGGTAAAATGAGGACCCAGATTGTTGGGGGCCATATGCTGTCTTAGAGAGGGCTGTAAAAGCACTATGAAGAGGTATATAAGCCTAAGTGCTATTGCTAGTCATGTTTCCTATCTGGTCTGCCAGTTGACACTCTGTCTTGGAATGAAATCCAAGCACTTGCAATGTCTTCTTTTAAAGAGAAAATATTTCTTCTGACTGTTTTGGTCTGTTCCAGTCTGTTTTTTAACATTACAATTAGTTGTTTTATCATTCTGCATTTTTACTTTGGATTACCTGATTCAACTCTATCGAAATACTTTCCTTTCCACTCTTGTCTAATGCTGCTGCTTCTCTTTCTATCTTTCTCGTTTTTGTTGATTTAGCTTCTTCTACCAGTTCCTGCCTGCTGTTTTCTTTTTTACTTCATTCCTGAATGCCCTTTGCAAATCCTACTAATGGGATATTTTCACTGTAGTAACATTGTAAAATGTCTGTAAATAAAGGTATAGAAATATATATGTAAACTTTTTGCAATGTGTGTGCAGGTGCCTGTATCTCAGCTTTATCTAAAAATGATTTAATAAATGAACAACCTTCTTGGTGACCTCAGCAACTGGTTATCCCCTTTCTCTATAGACCCCAGGAATTATCATTTTGTGACATTACAGATTTGTGAAAGACACTTCTCGGCACTGTTTCCAAATTACAGACCCAAATTTCTTTTGTAAAGCAGAAAGATGGAGAAAATGTGGCCATGAAACTATTATAGAATTAATGGACATTTATATTATAGATTTGCTCTTAAAACTTCCCAATTTGAGTCAATAACTATGTCCCAAATTTGACAGGGGAGAAAACAGAAAACACACATTTGTTCTCTTGCTTTATGACTGTTAGCATTATATATTAAAATTTGGATGTGGGAATGGCAGGCCTGTCAAATTTTCTTTTTTCCTCTGCCAGGAGATAATCATCTGCTTTCTTTTTATTAAAAAAATGGCAGCTAAGAATGGAATGAAGAGAAACAAAAAAAAAATTACAGTACAGGATGTATCTATTGCCTTTGTGATATGACATGATTTATTTATGAGGTATTAACTATATAATTCTGTGGACACTATATTTATGAGGTATTAACTATATAATTCAGTGAGCTCTGTTTTATTAAAATAAGATAGGATATCTGAAGTTCTAAAACTTTTTTTTTCAAAGGCTGTAGATTTCCTCTTTGTACCAGATCATCTAGATTTCTGCATTTATTTATTTAAGACAATTGGTCAAATCCAGCAGATCCAATATGCACCGTTAAATAGATTAATAATTTGTTTTGACAGATTTGCAAACCAATTTTAACACAAATAAAATTCTGCATCTACTTTTTTTTTATTTTATCTTGTTTTCTTTTTCCTCTTTTTCTTCTTTTTATTGCCATCTTCAATTAGCTAAACATGGAATAAAGGCCACTTAGGGCTTTATTATATTAATATAATATAATAATTATATTATATTATATTATGTTATTATATTATATTATATTATATTAAGATCACCAGGAAGCGGTCTTAATATAATAAAAGATCTAGATTCTAGTACAATCAAACTAAGAGCAGAACTACATATCCTCCATGGCCTATTTCTACCATGAAATAAGTTACCATATTCTGTACTAATTGCAGTTTCTCATAGTCTTCAAAGGGATCCCAATATAACATCATTAAAATACTGTAGTCTAAATGAGAGTCACAGGCCTAATTTTTCTCCATTAGATTAAGACAATAAATGATAATTTGACCCAGCTATCCAAGAATATGCCCAAAAAGCATTCTTCGTCTGTGGATATACAGGGATGAAGAGGAGAAAAGTCTAATTATTTCAGATCATATCAGAGGTGGGCTTCAAAAATTTTAGCAAGGGGTTTTCTGCCAGATTGCTGGGTGGACATGTCCATGGTGGGCGTGGCCTAGTCAGCCTCCTGCACTATGGTGAGGGGGGGTGTTTTTGCCCTCCCCGGGCTCCGGAGGTTTTCCTTAAGACTCTGGGAAGGTGAAAACGGCCACCCCAAGTTCTAGAAGCCCTCCCGAACTTTAAGTAGGCCTGTTTTTCGCCTTCCCCAAGCCTCAGCGTGTGCCCTGCACTTACATGCATCCAAAATGGGCCACGTGGGGACTCTTGGGAGGAGAGGGGTGGGGTGGGCAGGGCCAGCCAGGAGTGGGATTTGGGGGTTCTCAGAACTGCACAGAATCTTAGCTAGAGGTTCTCATGAACCCCTGCGAACCCCCAGCAGCCCACCCCTGGATCATATCAGATTTCAAACTTTGGGTAAAATAGTTGAACATCAGTGTTACAGTGGAGAGAAGAACACGGTAGATTTCATTAGACATCCTACAGCACAAAACAATACAATAGAGCCACTGGCATTCAAAATTAATCTCTGCAGGAGAGGGCAATGCCACCCATCAAGTAATTTCACTAACTTAATAGGACTGTGATTCTCTATTAACGTTAAGTAACTTTGAAGGGGAAAGAAAAATTATAGCAACATACTCCCTTTTCCAGGTCATGATGCAAATAATCCATTAGAATTTAGACTTATATACTGCTTCACAAGGCTTTACAGCCCTCTCTAAGCGGTTTACAGAGTCAGCCTATTGCCCCCAACAATCTGGCTCCTCATTTTACCCACCTCGGAAGGATGAAAGGCTGAGTCAACTTTGAGCTAGTGAGAACTGAACTGCCAAACTGCCGGCAGCCAGCAGAAATAGTCTGCAGTACTGTGTTCTAACCACTATGCCACCACAGCTCTATGGCAATTGATGCATTATGGCAATTGATCCTGTTTCCAACCCAAGATCTTAGTATACTTCTAGATTGATATGGGTTTCCAACCCCCACTCCCCATTTTCTCCAAAATTTGCGCTGTGCAGTGACCTCAACAACTCAACACAAAGTGCAGCTCTGAAACAAACTTGTAGTTGTTCAATTCTGCTGGGTCCAATGAGGATTTTTTTCTTTCTCAGCGAGAGTTTGATCACTGCCTCTTTCAAATCATTTAACTATCAACAAATCCTCCTTTGGTGGCCCATACCTGTTTCTGCTGCCTGCTAATCGAAT